TTTTATTGAAATTCTCGAAAGAATAGCGTTTTTTTATCTTTTCTCTCTCTCTCTCTCTCTCTCTCTCTCTCTCTCTCTCTCTGGTTTTATCAATGAACCGAAAACAAACGCAAAAATCTGAAAATTAGTCAAAATTCTCTTATCAATTTGAAAATGTTGCAGAGATTTTTTTTCATCAAGCAAGAAATTTTCTTCGAAACAAACAAAATATAAAAGAGAAAATTCTTGGAAATTTTTTTTCCGAAAAAATTTTCTTTCATCAGGTTTGCCAAAAAAAAAATCCAACAGCGGCAGCAGTTTGTTTGTTCACAACCTCAAGGTTTATTTTTTTTCACTTTTCTGGCAAGTTTTTTCTTTTCTTCAAAAGAAAAAATTATGAAAAAAAATAAATATTATCATGTTCAACACACACACACACATCATGCATGCATAAATTTAATTTCGGTGACAAAAGTTACACATCACCATCATAGAATATTTTTTTTGTCCATAGGAGAGAGCGGCAACAACGGAAAATTCCTGGGAAATTTCTTTTTTTTGTGCATATCAATATCAGTAGAAAAAAAAATGGTTGGATACAATGTGTTTCTTCTTTTTTTTATTGAAATTCTCGAAATATTTCTCTCTTCTGAGGACATCAAACAAACAAAAAAATCAAAAGAATCGGTTTGATTTTTTTTCTGGTTTCTGTGTGTGTGTGTGTCTGGGTTGTGTGGTTTAAAAAACATGTCGGTCATTTTTTTTTAATATTCCCGATTCTGTTTCTGTTTGCACCGAACCAAAAAGAAATGAATTTCGATTTTTCATTTTTCTGGTTATGTTTTTTTTTGCTGTCAAAAAATTGTTTGTTTTCTCGTTTCTCTCTCCCGACTTAATTAATGACAAATATTTTTTTTCCCCCACTTCATTTAACCATTCAGTGCCAATTCAGGTATGAAAAAAATAACCGGATATCTTTAAATATGATATTTTAAGAGGCAGTACAGAAGAAAACATATCCGGTATGAATTTTGTTGTTGTTGTTGTTTTGAAAACTCATAAAATTCATAAATATTCCTTCCAAGGAAAATGGATTCTTACGTGTTCTTGGTTTGTCAAATATATAAACTTTTGCACCAAAAATAAAAATGAAAAAAAATGGCCAATAAACTTTGGCTTAAAAGATTTGTTCAGCGAACAAACGACGATGTTGGGAAAAAAACATTACATAATTCATTTGCCATAGCAAAACGATTATCAAATAATTTTCCCATACATTTATGAAATCAAATGTTAAGTGTTAATCCTTGAAACATTTCAAAATAATTTATGGTCATAGACCTTTCATTATTGTTCGACCATTTGTTTATTTATTTTTCATTCATAAATTCACAAATTCGTTTTAATCTCTCTCTCTCTCTTGCTGCTGCTGTACCATTAACCTATTAGCATCATTTTTTTTTTTTTTTTGTTGAAATTGTTTTTCATCACACTGAATTTTCATTGGACATTTTCTCTCGTAAATTCTTGATAATACATTTTGACATTAACGACCATAATGATGATAATGATGATGATGAAAATCAATTGATTAACCAAACTGACTTTTTGCTGTTTGTTTCAAATAAATTAAGCAAAATGAATTTGTTTTGATAATTTCGTTTGACATTTGATTATTTTCATTTTAGCCTTTTGGTTTTTTGTTTCGTAAAGTTTTTTTATTTTCTGTTGTTTATTGGTCGGTTAGTTAGATTGATTGGTTGGTTGGTTGGTCGAAAGCAACACACATAATGAACCGGATAACAAATTTGCAATCATTTTTGCTTGCTTTTATAGCATCTTTTTTTTCGCATGTTAAAAAATTGTCGTTAACCAAGTGTGAGAACGACGGGGAAAAGAACGATAGGAAAGAAAAATGCTCACTTTATTCGATCGGATATTTGTATTTATTATCGAATAAAAAAAACTTATTCCTTGTCCTTTACTCTGTGTTTACGTGGTTGTTATAAATGTTATGTTTTTTGGAGCTGCTATTAAATGTTTTTCTCTCGCTCTCTCTCACAGTGTTTTAATGATGATAATAATTTCTCGGGAAATTGTCGAGAGAATTTTCTCTTCTTGGTTTGTTTCTTAATCGAGAAGTTATAGAGGCGATTCTGAATGACAAAAAAAAACCGAAATTCTGTTGAAAATTCTATTTTGGAGCTTCGTTGAAAATGAGAATTTGTTTTCTAATCCATATTCATTTTATAAAAACTACTTGGGTAGAAATAGTGAGAAAAGTGTTAATGATATTCTGTTGTTTTTTCATTTGAAAAAGAGACAACAGCAGAATTTTCTATTCTTTATTGGTTAAAAAATAGGATCATTGGCCTTTACCTCTTGGACAGGTAACCAGGACAGAATAAAATTACACCGGTGTTGTTTTAACCCCCTCCCCTCTGAAAAATGACATGAATAGATTTTTTTTTTTGACATAAATCAATAATCAATATCATTATCATATTCTGTGATCAATAATCAACTCATCATTCTCTCTCTTTCTCTCCTTCCTGTCAAAAGTTTGTCAAAAAAAAAAGAAAAATTTCAATTTCAAAAGTTAGTCACGCAATATCATTTATTGATTAGTTGGTTGGTTGATTTGCTTTTGTTAAAGCTAATTTTCCATATTAAAAAAAATACAGAAAAAACTTTAAAAAACTTACTTTTTACGTTTTTTCTTTTGAAAAACACGTTTTATACGTATCAATAAGAATGCAGCACGATCCATACTTAATGATGATGATGTTCCTGTTGTTGTTGGTGATTGTCGTTGTTGTTGTTGTTGTCGATGTTGTTGTTGTTGTTGTGAATGATAATAGTGATGCGGATGAATACCTGATGATTGTGTCATTATCGTTGTTGCTGTTGATGGTGGTTGCTGTGATAATGGTAAACATTTTAAATTTGTTGATATTGTTTTCATTGTTGTTGCTGTCGATATAGTCGTCGATGTTGTAACCGATGATAATGATGATAAAGGTACTTGCGGTGATAATGATGGTGGTGGTGGTGATGTGGAATTAACATTCGATAATTGTATTATCGGTGACAAACGATTCAATGTCGTCGTCGATGTCGTCGTTGTTGTTGTGGTGGTTGTTGGTGATGAAATCATCGTTTATAATTTTGCTTTGGCATATCCATCACATTTGGCAAGAAAAAAAAAGAAAGAAATCCAGTAAGAAAAGAACAGACAAACAAAAAAAAATCTTTTCCGAAAGAATATTTCTCGGAAAATTTCTAACATTAAAACATTTTCAAGATTTCCATGTTTGTATATGGGCAAATGATGATTATTGAATGAACGACAATATTACCCGTGTAACCAATACCGACAGACCGAAAAACAGAAAACAGAAGACGACGAATCAGCCCGAAAAAAAAGTCTGTATTTGATGATGATTTGGTTCGAGTTTCGAGTACACATAGATCCAGAACTGAAACATGCGCAGAATCGATTCTGATTGCCAAGAATAGAATATCAAAAATATTGAAATTGATTTTTTTTTGTTTCAGCTAAAAAACAAAACCCCAAATCATCATCATTAATTTCGATTTGAAATTTAAGAAAAATTTTCCAGAATTTTTGAACTTTCGGGAACATTTTTAACTCCCTTTATTGATGATGATGATGTTATTGTTTTTTTTTCTCATTTGATTATTGTTTTTTCGATTCCATAATGGCCATTTACATAATAGCAAAAACAATAAACGACCCCTGAAAAGTTTGCTTCACTGTCATAATTCGCATTGAAAATTTAAATTTCTTTTAAATTGAAAATTGAATTTTCAAAAAATTTAAAATTTAAAATTTGAATGAAATTTCAAACAAAAATAAGAAAAAAACGTACAGAGATTATGCATATCTTGAGGGCTTTAAAGATTATTATTTTTTTCAATTTTCTTTATTTAAACAAATCACAAGCATTTAGTTTGGTTTGGTTTCCGGAAAAAATTTTCCCGAAATTTTTTGTTATCATTCTTGTCAGTCAGTCAGTCAGTCAGTCAGTGTTTTCAAAACAGATAGATGTGAACATTCAAAGTCAAAGTCAAAAGAAAATTAATAGTAATTAGGGTAGAAATAGTCGAAACACAAAAATACAAATCAAGTTTGTTTTTGTGTGACAATTTTTTTATAGATTAAGAATCGCAAGAATCGTTATTTCTAGTAAATTCCAATTGATCGATGTAATAAACATCATTATTATTATAAACATCATTACTTTTCTATTTTAACCTTATAAACAATAACAATAAAAATAAATAATAATAATGAAATGATTGTAACTTTTGTTGTTGTTGTTGTTGTTGTTGTCGTTATATTTTTTCCTTAGAAATCGGATTATTATTATTATTCAACATTTAAATTAATCTGAAAAGCAAAACAAACAGTAATAATGATAATAATAACTTAGAGAGAGAACAAACGACATAACCATAAGTTAAAATAGTCGAAAAATTTGTATTTTTCTTCGTCGTCAACATTATTATATCATCAACATCAACAACAACAACAACAACAGGGGAACAAAAACAAAAAAAGAGAGAATTTCATAAATTAAGAAGAGTGGAACTGGATGGAAGGGGGATCACCATCACTACCATCACCATAAAGTCTTCCATCCACCATTTTAAATGAAAATCCCATATTTGAAACATTTTATATTTCAAGAAAAAAAAAATACCGACCAAAATCCCGATAACAAACCAAAAAAAAGTAATCGAATGATGCTGTAAAAAAAATGATGACGACAAACAAACAAACAAACATACAAACACCAACCGGAGAATCTTTGCATAATAATTATGTTGATGACAAAACAAAATACAAATTTCGTTTTCGTTTTCGTTTTCATCTCATTTAAATTTTCAATTTTCAAGCAAACAAAAAAAAAACTAAATTCATTGAAATTATTATTATTAGTTGTTGTTTATCTTGTTATTTTTTTTGTAAAAAGACTTTGTTACAAATAGAATTTTTTAATGAAAAGAAAGAAATTCATTAGTTTAGTTTTGAAATTTTTATTTAGATTTTTTTCAATGGTAAAATAATAATGATGATAACAATCGGAAATTGTTTTCTGACTATCGAAACTACAATCGTTTCAAACAATCGATTATTCATTGATGACGTAATATACGAATGATGATAATAATAAACTGATCAACATGACAACGACCTTTTCTTTTTTATTTTTTTTCTATCGTTTAACGAAAATGTTAATGAAATATTTTTTTTCGCACAATAATTTGCGATACACACACACACACAAGTCGTTGGCCTAGATAAAATAAAAAAATAGTTTGTTTGTAAATGAGATTAGCTATAGCTAAATAATAAGCAAGTAACAACAANAGACACAGACACCCTCCATCAAACACTTCAATCATCGCTAAATTTTATAAACACTTGGTCCATACAAAATTATCTTCGAATTAATGTCCAAAAAACACAAATTCTTCATTTTCACACCAAGCCAATGAACACACCCATTACACTCAACAATGAACACATCCAAACTGTAAATACAATGAAAATCCTTGGAATATCTTTTGAAAATCATAGACACAAAAACAAAATCAACTTTAATTCACACATCAACAACATCATTGTAAAAACAACACGCATCAAAAACATCTTACACAACTATTGTAAAAACACTTTTGGCATAGATAGTAAGAAAAGACAAAACTTATATAAGGGCCTCATTAGACCTGTACTAACTTATGGATCTGAAATCTGGATAAATCATGTAAACAAAAAACACATAAATAAACTAGAATCATTACAACACCAAATTCTCAGACAATCTATCATGGCCTACAGAACAGTTTCAAAATCTTGTGTCACTGTCTTAACACAGATCGAACCATTACATACTAACATACAGATTAAACAGCTCAAGTTTCGCAGCAGAAATAATATGTATCTAGATATCCCAGACAATCAAACACTCGATCAATATATCCAACAATTAAAAGACACTGAAATACAAACCGCACACCAAAACGCTAACAACACATTCAAATCATTCTTCCCTTCCCATAAAATACCAAAACACATCACGCCAAATTTCTTTACAACACAGTTTTACACCGGACACGGACACTTTCAAAAATACCTTTACAGATTCACACACTCCCACACAGAACTCTGTACATGTTCCAACACAACACAAGACCCCACACATCTACTCCTAAATTGCACACACTACACAAACATTAAATACGATCTTCATCTACACAATGTTAACACATTAGAAGAATTCATACAAAACAAAAACACACACAATAATTTCAAACACTTATGCACACACATCTATAAACACCTAAAAACATTATTCTGATCTTAATTTATCTTATATTTAATTATATTTTCTCTTCAATTTCATTTTCTTTGATACTCATTTCAAATTGTATTTTATTCCTAGGCTATCTGCATAATATTTGTAATCTATATTTTATTTTGAATCTCTTATTTTAGCGTAAATATCCATCGGATAAACGCTTTTTTAATAAAATTATTATTATTATTATTATGTTTGGTTGGTTGGTTGCTTGTTTCATCTTCATCATTTTCTTCTGCTTCTTTTTTCTTTTTTTTAGTTTATAATAAATGACAATGACGGTAATTTGATCGTAAAATGAACATGCTACACACACACACATATATATGGAAAATGGTAATAAATTCTTAATGAATGAATAGAGAATATTCTTTCTTTCTTTCTTTCATCATCTAACCACCAGAATTGAGCAGCCGAGAATTGAACGACCACCAGAATTGAGCTAATAGAGCAAATAATGATTTCTCTGTTTGTTTGTTTGATCTAAAGTTGAAAAATGACCAAAAAAAAAATACATATAAAGAAAGCAAAATGCCAAAAGCAAATTCTTTCTTTTGGTTTTTGGTTTTTTTGATTCCGATGTTGCTTGAATTGATTCGCATTGATTCTTCGTACAAAAACAAAAACCGAAAAACTTTTTTTCTGCTTCATTTTTTTCTGTTGTTGTTTAAATTTATTAAATGTTTCTTTATTTATAGTTTTTTTTTGTCAATTTTATTAGTTCAATATTTCATTTTTTTTGGTCATCATAAATTCAACCAAGATTCTTTGACCATCACTGTTCACATTGATCATTCGATGATTAGTTGAAGCAAAGAAAACAACATGGGAAAAATCTATTTGGGGAAAATTTTCGGCAATTCTTCAAATTTGATTTATTTTGTTGTTCGTTTTTTCAAATATTTCATCCACCAACAAAAACAAAATTTCCTTTTCGTGTAATTTTAATCAACAACAGCAACATTTATCGATTGATTTTTTGGTTTGATTGGATGATTGAAAACGAAAACAACGAAAACGAAAAAATCAATAAAATTCTGAGAAATTTTTCCGGAAATTTTTTTTTTTTGTTTTGTTTCCAAATCAAACCAATTTGTTTTTCGAAAATTTTTCTTTCTTGCTTCTTGATTTATCGTAATCATTAAAACAATGTTTCCTCTGCTCTCTCTCTCTCTCTCT